TAATACAACAGCTTCTTGCCATTTTTTGTGTTTCTTTTTATCGCTGTGTAACTGAGTTCAATTGAAGGCCTGCATGCGCTAGTACCTCTTGCCACAAGTTCCCAGAATCCTTTGCGGTTTTACCCCTGAATGACGTCACATTTTTGGTGGGCTGGTCTCTAGTCAAAATGCCCGGGCCGATTTTTTGTCCCAGTCCAGCCCTGTCCACTTCCCTCATTTTCGCTCTGTGTTTTTAAGTCCTCTGTCTTCCTCTGTTCTTTGTCGGGTCGTTTGTTTGTCTTATTGTCAGGTCATGTCATGTCAGGTCACGTCACAGAGTTTTTGCTCGTACTCATGCTCATGTTTAAATTTTTTCACTTTTATGTTTTGCATGTTCCTGTTCAGGTTCATGTTCTTGTCTCTTGCTGTTGTTTTATAGCTGGTTTAGTTCTTTCCTAGTTTAAGTTTTAGTTTAGTTTCGCCCTTGTTTCGCTTTGCCTTGTTTCTTTTGTTTTTGGACATCAGTCTTCTGTGTCTGCTTTTCGGTCCGTAAACACACCGGCGTACCCCGCCATGACAGGATCTAGTGATGTACTGATGTACTCATGGCTTTTCTGCACCTTATATCTATGATCATTAATTGCTTTTTTTCTTTCTTCTTTTTTTTAATATAGTATATAACAATTATGTAAATAAGTTTGTTTTTTATGCTGTTTAGGCAACAAATATTTGGGAGAAAAAAATGCATCCCCAAAATAAGCGGCCAGGAGGTAAAGCTTGTCCAAGCATCTGCACACTTTAACATTAACTATGACTTTTTTCAAAGGTCCATGTTTTGAAAAGACACTTTGGAAAAATGCCTTATATCTTCAACTACAGGTCTTCATGAAATCTCCTTGTGTGTTTCTGCCACCAGATCTTCTGTTGAAGTAAACACTTCTTATAAAACTTTCGATCTTACGTGCTGCACAATAATTTTCAATATTTAGTATTTACTGTTATATTCACATAGGGGGTGGGGGAGTACAACTTCTGACAAAACCGCATCAAAAGCATGCATAAATAAGTTGAATATAAAAACTGTTTCCATTGTTTTTTTTTTTTGTTTTTTTTGTTTTTTTAAAATTTCAATTAACTCAATAATAAAGACTTCAATAAAAGACTCGATGTGTTTTTTTTTTTTTTTTTTTTTTTTTTTTTTTTTTTCTAAATGACTGTTTCCATTGTTGAATGAAGCAACTTTATGTGTTGAGTTTTGCATCAGTCACTCATGATTGTAAAAGGGTAGCCACACTTTGACACAATAATTAAATTTTTTTAATATGAGACATTACAGAAATGTCTTATAGTAAGAAATTTGCCAAAGTGGCAGAAACATTACAAATAAATACAAACATATTGATGCAGAATAGCTGATTTTATTTATTGTGCCCTCAGATTGGTTTTTCCTTGTGACTCTGTCTTAGCCTGCTGCTTTTCTTTCTGACACTACCCACAACCACCTCCGTTCTCTGTCTCCTTCAATTTCAATCTCTCTGTTTTCCCTTCTCTCGTGAAGTTCTAGAGATGACAGTCTAGCTGTATCGAGAAATAGTGTCATTGATCCAGGAAACCAGAGAGCAGACTTTGGTGTAGACACCTGGAAGGTTGGGCTCAGCACAGCCCACGCCCCAAGAGATGATTCCCTGCAGCTCCCCATTACACACCAGAGGGCCACCAGAGTCCCCCTGAGCAGGGGAGAGGAAGCGTAAGAAGAGAGCAGGGTTTGTTCATCATCTCATCTCATTAAGGTTTACTAATGAGTATACTATTCAATGGTATACTATTCAAGTAACTGGGTAAAAATACCTGACAAGCATCCTTGCCCCCTTCCAGGTATCCAGCACACATCATGCTCTCAGTAATCCTTCCAGGGTAGGAGTTCTCACAGTCGTTGTCAGACAGAATTGGGACTTCTACACAATGTAGCTCATATGAAAATTCTGCAGTTGAGAGAAAGGAGAGGGGATTGTTATCTTTACTAAAGTATTCAGAGCATCTGTGTGCATCACAACCACATCATGCTTGCATGCCAACAATAACTGGCTTCTGAAACTGGTGTAAAATAAGTGCTCTGCATTCATTTTTTAGAGTTTAGAGTCATCACATTAAGCCAAAAACAAGATTTCTACAGAAAAGATTTCTTAATTATTGAAGGCTTTAGTTCAAATGTCTTCATATCTATGAAACGTTTTAACTATATTTTTTAAATTTACCAAGGTTTGTGAGAAAATTCTTAATATGTTGCCAAAAGCAAGTCAATTTTTCAAAACCTTTTTTGTCAAAATCAGGTGGGCCTTACCTTGACCAGGGAATGTCTGCCCCCATCCAGATGCTGTGCACATATCCCCAGGTGTGGGGCAGGCTTTGGGTAAAGCAATAGGCTTGACGTACTCGTCCACAGTAACAGGGTATTTCAGTTTCATTAGCATGATGTCATAGTCTAGGGTAAAGTAATCAAAACTCTCATGTGTGTAGATGTCGTCAATTGGCATATACTGCTCTGTGCCCTCAGTATACCAGATTGTATGTTCACCCACAATGGCAACATGGGTAGAGGGTCTGAAAAGCAAGCAACAATTAAATTATTACAGTTCTCTTAGACACACATAGCAAGAATTTTAAGATACAAGAAGTCGGTACAAACATTTTCCAGCAGTGGGCAGCAGAAATGACCCACTGGTTGTTAATGAGAGCACCGCCGCAAAAGTGGTAGCCCTCATTGAGGGATACTTGCCAGGGTTGAGAATGAGCTGGACACTCGTAACCCCCCACAATCTTGTCATCCAAAGGGACTGCAGCTGTAATATAAAGGAAATACAACAAAGTTCTACTCATCAAAGTTAAAAATCTGTGTTACTCTAAAATCTTTGAGCATGATGCAAATAGTCTTTACCTGCAGTGCCCAGGATCATGAAAACAATCAGACCAATCATCTTTTAGCTTGCTCAAGAGCAGACTGGATGCGACTGACCTGTTATTCACTGTATTTATACATCAGCTTCTCTGTGACCTTCCATCCACCCCTCGCCCTGGACACCTTCATTTTTCCATCCACCTACAAACCTGCCCACTAAAGTCAACAACATATCCCTTTTAAAAAAAACACAACTTTGTCTTATTTTTGACAGTCTTATTTGCATACCTTCTATTTATGTTGGTGACAGGTGCAGAAATGATTCCTCCCCCCCCTTTTTTTTAAGCAACTATCAACTACTGTGTTTGTACATACTGCCATAATTCAGGAAAAACAAACAAACAAAACAAACAATGTAGGACTGCTTTTATTTTCTTGCTCCTGAGAGCACAGATGGTTTCTTTCTCACTTCATTTGGCTTTTATACAAACATGACCAAAAGCAGACCCAAACATTGACACATTTGAGCATTTTCTATATTTTTTAAACAGAACTATCATTCATAAAATGTTTTGACATTATTTCTCCAGCACAACTTTATATGTATTGTATTTTCTTCACAAAATAATGTTTAGAATTTTTTTTTCTTGAAGAAAGGACAAATCTTTCATATCTGACTTTAGTATCCAGGTAACAGATGTCGACATGTACGTACAGACTAGTTTTAGCAATTAGGGGGTTAATTCATTGAAATTTATACGATAATTAAAATGCCAGCATATAATTTTTGATTTGGGGTTCCGGAGTCTTACGATTTGCTTTATAAAATATTGCACATCATTACTGTCAGTAAGAATTTACAGGAAAGCTTCCATACGAGAGTTCAGGCTGTGAATGAAATACAGACTTTCAAGCTCAAGAAGTCTAAAGGACATTGCACACACACACACACGCACGCACACACACGCACGCATGCACACATCAAGGCCATTCACTCAATCACGCACACACACATACCCACCTGCAAATGACACACAAAGACCCCCACCCCCCTTCCCAAATGAAGCCAAGCAGATGCCCCACGGAATCAGCAGCAAAACTGGGATGCAGCCAGATGGGGATCCACCAGTGGACCCCCATCCCAGGCTGTAGCTTGCCAACAATGAGTGACCTATGTGAGAAGCTTAAACAGGTGTTAAATGTGGGGAGATAAGCGATTTGGATGAACACTTAGCACCAAGCGGTAAGAACAGAATGCAGAGATACAGACGGGGTCAACATAACCAGGCAAGAGAGGAGGAGCAGGAATAGTTGGAGCACACAGACTATTGCAATATGAGTCAGAGTGTGCCTAGGTGTCTTCTGGGCATTTGCCAGACACCATGAGACTGCTGACTCTGCTGAAGGTTGGATTTGCTGGTAAAAATACAGAGATACACACATACATACAATGTACACATCTCTGTTGTAATGACACAGATTTGAAATGAAATTCACTTCAACTGTTGTGCAACAGTGGCAGTTACTCGTAAAGATGGCAGGAGTGTGAACATCACCATACATGGCCTCACTGAACAGACTACCACATCAGTGATGGTGTGCTCATCAGCAAGCAGCGGGTGCTCTCTGTTGCCCACTGTTGGTACAAGTAAGTACTCAGTGTTGGAAACATGAGTTTGTGCATTACTTTCTTTATTTAAAAAATAGATAAACTAAATAACTACATTAAAAAGATCATGTTGGTGCATGACAAATTTTTGGATCTTAGATAATCTGTTTTAAGGATTTTGTTTTTCTTGTTTAATCTGCCTGTACAGAGAAGCTGAAGAATGACATCATCATCTGGCTCCCTCAGTGAGTGAAAGAAAGGATCGGCCCTGTCTGCGATTTACTTTTACACGACACAGTTTAATATTTCCATTCACTGATGAAATACTTCAGACAAACAGCTGAGGCTTATTTTATATTTCTGTGTGTGCAGGTACGACTATCAGACTCTAGATTACGACATCACACTGGCCAAAATCTACCAGCCCTCAGAGGTGATTGAGGCTGTTATACTGATCCCATCGCCCACGTGCTGGACAAAAAAAACTAATAAATGAAACTTCTTAGTATACACACATTTTTTGATTGGTCTGTTTGTATTTAATGGAAAAAAGAACATCAAATAAAACTTGAAGACCAAAAATGCATCAGTTACAGGTTACTGTATTTATAATCAGTTACAGATGTAAATAAAGCGCCTTCACATTATTCTGACCGCCTTTTAATGTATCACTTTATGTCTGGATCAATTCAGCATTTATCATTTCCTGTACAGTTTTGATGGTAATCCTTCTATGTCAGATATAGTAACACTTACATATCACTTTCAATATAGTTCACGTCTGAACTGCCTGAAGTCACACAAACTGTGCATGTTTCTCATGCATCTTTCCAAGTTACTCTGTTCACTAGAGAATGACCTAAACAGCAATAACCTGTACATAATAACGCTCTCTCTCATTCTTAGACTGAAATGTTCCTCTGTGATGCATCTTTGCTTTTGCCCTTCCAGAGAAAGGGTCTTTCTGTGACTCTGTCTTGGAGGTACTTGATACAGCTTGCTTAGCAATATCCTGCAGCACCTTAACACTCACACATACTCAAAGACCCTTATTTGGAGTGACGGGGAGAGAGAAATAAATGTTCAACAAGTCTGGTTAAAGTACACATGCAGCATGTCTTCTGCATGTAGGTCAAATATCATATCTGAAGAAATTGTGAAACACTTTTATGTAAAACTGAATGACTGTAATGTTATTTATCTGCTGTTTTCAAAGGGTTACAACTGCTTTATCAATATAGAGGCCCTTCTCTACTCTTATAACATTTACAAGAACAAACTTATGTTATAGATTAAAGAAAGAGGTAGGGTTTTTCTATTATTTAATAAAAATCACATTGTCAATTATTAAGCCTCTCCTTAATTTCTGTTTCAGAGTGTCAGTAAATACTTTAACTCCAAAGAAGATCTAATGTGACACTATATTTAGGAATTAGTACTGAACCTACCGTGTTGCTAATGGCAGTGCAATTATCAAACAGTAGGAGGCCACAGTGGGCAATTTTTCTGTTAGTCCCAAACACTCCACTCATTTTCAGCAGTGCAGCATGCACATGGTAGTTTGCAGCATTAAATATTATTTTTTACATTCAACAAAGGCTGATTTCTTGGATGAAATTAAGTCTATTGACTCTACATGTTGTTTGTCACTCAGGATGACATTGTTCTCTTCATCTCTCCCTGAGCGTACTTGTCTTTTCTGAGCCCTGGTCTGCTCATCTCCTTTTCCTTATGTCTTCTCTCCATTACAGGGATGTTGGGTCCGAGCCAGGGTACTCCACCTATACACAATCAAACAGAGATTTCACGTGAAATGCACAATATTCACAAGAAGTCTAGCGGGTTAAGGTGACTTACGTTATTCATGTAAGTGTATAGAATCTCATCTCCAACTTCTGATAAAATACTAAAACAATAATACCTAAACCTAATAAATAAGAGCACCTAAGGGGAATTCAAAACAAATCAATTTCACAGTTTTGACCTGAGAAAAATGATCTCGGTGCTACCATTATTATGCTAATGTACTGCAATGCGTCAAATATGAAACTATTTTTAACAGTATGAGTTCAATTTTCTAATTTCCTGTCATGACAAGGTGAACATGTCTGAGATGTAGAATAAAAATCATAAAGAAAAGCAAGTAAAGCTTATTAAGCAAACAAATATATCCCATTCAAGACCTGAAGAGGCCTATTTTTCTCTGCAGTGCAGCTGTGTGTCTTTAATGTGTTTTTCATTTTTTTTAGAGAAACACCCGTAAAAAACATGTGGTTCAAAGCGTTGAATGATTTCAGTATGTTTCTAACTGTTTTCCAGTCTTGTGCATCAGGTGAAATTTCTTTAGTTCGTTTTAAGATGGAAGGTCCTCTGCATGTTTGCTCACATTACTGTATGTAAATGGCCTGTATTTATATAGCGATTTTCTAGTCCCTAAGGACCCCAAAGCACTTTACACATCCAGTCACACACACATTCACACATGATGGCAAGCTACATTGTAGCCACAGCCACCCAGACGGTATCTGAAAGAAATTTAAGAAGCACGCATACAGCATAACAACAAATGTAATTCACACTTCTGTATTAACTTGTTGCACATTATACTTTTTAAAACATGTTTAAGGAAGCATTATTCTTATTTCACCAATCATGCAGCAAGTATTCAGACAAGTCAAATTAGCAATAACACGCTGCACTGACAATGTTACTGAAATAGTCAGTTATAAGTATTATCAGCTCCTCACGTATGGTAAATGGCCTGTATTTATATGTATTTATATATTTATAGTCCCTAAGGACCCCAAAGCGCTTTACATATCCAGTCATCCACCCATTCACACACTGGTGATGGCAAGCTACATTGTAGCCGCAGCCACCCTGGGGCGCACTGACAGAAGCGAGGCTGCCGGACACTGGCGCCACCGGGCCCTCTGACCACCACCAGTAGGCAACGGGTGAAGGGTCTTGCCCAAGGACACAACGACCGAGAATGTCCAAGCCGTGGATTGAACCGGCAACCTTCCGATTACAAGGCGAACTCCAAACTCTTGAGCCAAACTCTCATCGCCCAGCAAAAGAAGACGAAAGAAGGTTGTAACAACTATGACTTACTGTCGTCAGCTCTCTGAGAGGAGGAAGGAAAGTTTGCTTCTCTCAGGTGTTCCACGCTGTTTTACAAACACATAAACATACCAGTAAATTAACTGCTTCACATGAACCATCCTGTCATTATGACTACTAACTGCACTACATGCATAAAATTGAATAAAAAAAAAAAACAACTTGTTTATTGCTGTGAAATTTAAGTGGAGACAGGAGTCAATCACCTGTGAGAGAAAGGGCGTGGTCTCAGCTCACCAGCATATTCCTCTTCACTGCCGCGTAAACCCTCCGTTCGACAACTAAATAAAGACAGAAAAATTTTATCACCTGAGTTGTTTTTTTAAAATTTGATAAATCATTGTGTAAATAATGTATTTTCCATTAACCTAAGCTAGTGATCCTAGATAGAACAACCATCAAGAATAACCTAACAAGCAAAAACAGAAACATTTGGACTTTTAAAAATTACCTCTCGGCTTTAATGCGTAGTTACAAAGCATAGAAACATTTTAATTATTTTAATAGTCTCAATATCTGTATAGATTCAGTAACTTGGCTTGCAGGTCGCCTAACCATTTTTAATCATTTTATGATTCCTCTAATTAAATATTGTTTGCCAAATAACAATTAAATCTTCCTTTCCAAAACAAAATGAGAAAATAACATTAAAACCGGTGTAGTTTGTAAAATTAGTTCATCAAAGCCATCAGTTGTCACAGAAGCAGCTTTTTACTTCTCTGAAAGAAGACTACCAGGTGACTATAAATAAAGCTAGAATGTCATGGATCTTAATTGAGTAGCAGGAAAATGCTCTTTCTAGCATACAAGCAGAGAACCTTGATGTAATACTACTGCGATCTCACCTGCAAGGTTATTAAAGTAAACTAAAATCAAACTAAGAACTAAAACAAGGTGTGAAAAAACATTGTAAAACATTGTAACATTGAAAAAAAGAAAAGAAAATTAAGGTAGAAATATAAAGGTAATATCTTTAGTTTTAGTATCTCTTAGGTTGGTAAAAATGTTATTAAAACTTGCTGGTGAGGCAATTTGCAATAAAGGATTGGACATGGTTTGTAAGACTACTACTTTCCACTACTTAAAAAAAGGTTTTTATTGTAATACGTATAATGATTTTCCTAAATCTTGATTTAGGATCATGATTTAGGATCATAATTTAATAATTATGAGACTAAAGACATAAAGAGACTAAAAAAAACCTAAATTAAAACTTTTAAATTAAAACATTTTTTTGTTTTCAAACAATAAAAACTCAACTAAAACTTGACGATCCACTCTGGACAGAGATAGAAACTAACCTGAACTAAAAAAGAAATGGAATGAAAATAAAAACTAATTACAAAATACAAAACTATAACAACTCTGCTCACCTGTTTGTCTGTTTTCTGTACCTTTCCGTTTCACTGCTACTTTGAGGCTGCAGGAGAGAACAAACACAGTGACTGTACGGGCGTCGGCTATTGCGCATATGCACACGGCAGTTGGTAAATCTTTTCATTACTTTTTAAAAAGTTTAGTCTCTTGGAGAACTGGACAAATGCAACATCTCACATTTTCAAGCTGCCATAACCAAGAAGAATATGCAACTAACCTGAATGCCAGCAAGAACTTACCGAATAAGAGTTGGAGTGTTTGGGCAGTGTCTTAATTTCAGACGTCTGAGACTGGACGGAGGGAGAGGGACAGCGTGGCATTGTATTATTTTTAGGGGGTAAAGGTGGAGCGCTAATGTGAGAGCTGGGATACTGGAAGTCCAAACTGGAAAACTGGAAAATAAATAAATAAAAATGATAATAAAAAAAATATCACTCAATAGAGAGAACTTCTTTTAAAATCGCAGAAATGCGAATGAGGATGCATGGTGCACACAAGGTGCCTGGATTTTACTGTATAACAACTATTTAAACACAGAACTACAAATGTCTATTTGTATAGTCAAAAAGATGTGCAGGTGGTTTTATGAATCTATACTTGGGCGATGTTGCTTTCAAGTGACTATATATAGCATCCTATAACTAGTATTGACATTAAGCAGAAGGTACATTGCAGTCTAATGAGTTTGCATGTGCTTATTTTATTAACCAAAGATTAATGACTAATTTAATTTTGTCCAAACAATGACGTCGAATGAAAACTACATGACAAAGTTGACCTGCTAGAGGCTATACATGCAAACAATTATTTTCTCTTAACCCGATGGCGGGCCATACTATGGCTGTTGATGGCAGACCAAAAACTCAATTTGCTAGCACAGCACAGCTAAAATTAAACAACATGGAACACGGAAATGTATTTACACACCTTCCTCAGGGCAGCTATTTCCTTTACCATTTCTTCAATATCCACATGATCCTCTTCGTCGTCGTCATCATCGCCCTCCTCCACCAGCACCTGATCGCTGACTGGCACGTACGGCTCCAGGAGGATGGACTCTGTTCCTCTGATGTCGCAGCGGCAGTATGGGCAGGTTTGGCCAGCTGACTTCTGCTAGATGAATATCAACAACCCATCATCGGAAGAGGAAAAGAGAACGTTCACGTGAATGTGAAGAAACACCCATTCTCTTCAGCAGATTAATATCTTTTAAATTGTACAGTATGTAGTGGAATATGTTGAACATGTCTTCAAAGACAAAGGCCTCTGGCTGTTTGAAAGATAAAGGTAGTGGAAAATACCACGTTCAACAGACCCTGTAGATTGTGGTTTTCCACCTCAACATAAAAGGGAATCGTTGTAACATTCTGCTTTTGCTTCCGCTACTATAGCACAGAGCCTTTGTGTTTTTCCAGGTTTTGATGTGACCTCGATTTGTTAATATGATTACACAGACTGCTCGCCATACTATGTTATCTATTTTTGTACGCTGGTACGTCTCTAGTTTTAACAGGGATTAATGTTTATAGGGAACCTCACTACAAAATAGTTCTTTTCATTACATTAGTTCAAACATATGTTAAATCTAACTGCCCGGAAGTCTTTTGTTGTGTCAGATGATCGTCATTAAAATCCCTACTTACAAATTTTTCACAAAAGAAACAAGACATAGATTTCACTATAGCTGTGTTTATGACTAACAGAAACACCTTTAACCTCTCATGAACAGTATGCCAAGATAATGGTTTATGCATCTTGCACACAGTTGTACAGAAGGAGCAATGCATACTCAGCAGGAGTTTTTTTTCTAGATGTTTATCAGCAGCTAAATTATTGGGCCGTACTCCAGATATGACAGAATGAATGAGTTAGCAACATGCAACAGGACAGAAATGAGAGGATATGTAGGACATTTCCTTGAAACAGTGATGCTGTTTGCCATCTTGGAGATGACATAATCGATATGATGAGACCAAGATAAAGAGACGTCTGACTTAAAAACTTCATGTTTACGTTTCCAAACAACAAATCAATCGAGATCCTATCAATAAAAAAATTCAGGGCCACTGTAAAAGCATCCCTACTACAGAAATATGATGCATGTAGTCTATAAATGTTCTATTTCAAACTCTTACTGAATTTAACATACACGTTCTGATATTTGGTATGCTGCTGCAATGCTGATTTTGTTTTTGGGTTATGTTCCTTACACCTTACATGTCTATGTAAAGTAAACTTACAGTTAAAAAGAAAGTTTGCTTAACCTTAATCTCATAAAACTTACAACTTTTCCGTTGTGGTGTGGCATCCATGAAGCTCTTTGAACTTTCTTTTCAAGTTAGTCTCTTTTTCTCTCTCTCCCTTTCTCCCTCTCTCTGCCTTTCTCCTTCTCACATTACATGCGCACACTTTTTCTCATAGTGAATGTCACCGATGCAGCTCAAGGAGGATGTGAGGCTAAGCTCACACAGGAAGTCCTGAGCCAAATGTCAGGACATGTTGCTCTGCACCTTCAAAAAAACAAACAAAACACCTACTGAATAGGTGGAGGGCTTCTAGCTGGGATTGTCTGAGTAAAAGAACTAGCCAGAACCATGAAGCTATACTTTGACAGCTCCAGCTTTAATTCTGATTGGACGTCTTCTTTGTCACTCTGTAACTCGAAAGAGGAAGCAGGAAGTTGGGGAAGCCCCCCTGGAAGAGAACAAACGAAGTGCATACAGGACATGCTGTACACATGATGACTGAATTTTCTTTGGCTGAGAAATTTCTGTCATCTAAAGAGGTCAAATGTAAAGTGTATTGAAACATCAATATCACATGATATTCTGTACATTGTCCTCAGATTTTCACGTTTATATTATAGTGAATAGGCTATGAGCTACTTTGTATTATCTCTATTATATACAAATAAATAATGGTGACATTATGAGAGGATGATTCTTGAGTGTCATGCCTTGGCTATCAAGCTATAAAATCTAATAGGTCATCTAAAAATAGCTCAACAGAGCACATATTACAGGTGCTTTATAAGCATTGGTGCACTCGATATTGCCTGAGCTCGACTATAATTTTTCATGTAAACAAAAAAAAAGGAAAAAAAGAAAAGTGGAAGAGGAAAATCACAGCCATGTAGAAGTGTGATAATTCCATATTATTTTTTGAAGATAATATATGAATACTGGGGGAAAAAATAAATCAAGGTAGTTTTTCAGAGTTAAAATAACTTCTTGCCAATCCTACATTTTAATAAAGTGTTTGCATGAGAAATCTTTTTTTTGCACCAACCCCAAACCACATTCAAATAACCCGCATTGTTACAGTACAGCAGGACTGCAACCAACGACCAACCCGTGGCCTAAAAAACTATATCTAGTTCAGCCAGCCCAGACTGTTTCACCCCAATGAACACACAACAACGGTTACAGTAACTGTCTGTCTCCCTTCAACGTCTCTGTATGAGCAGGATATATTTGAACATGCGTCTGTGAATTTGAATGGATTTAAATAGGTTACAGATTTGAAAACTTTGAGTCCGTGGATGAAGATTCATACCTGCCAGCCTGTGAGGCAGGTTTGGCACAGGAGATGGCCACAGGGCTGAATCCGGGTGTCTTTATCCCTCTCTGTGCATATCTTACATAGCTGGTAGGTGCTGCCGATCTCACAGTAAAGCTCATACTGTTCCTGTTTGGTGGTTGTATTTAGTCAGAGAGACAAGACAACATCTCAGGATATTATCTGTTTTGTCTTGGCAAAGGTTCAAGATGCTGCAGTTAAATAGATAATGATGTATAAATTGCAGCCACTCACTTCTGTAACTTTAACTTTTCCTCTGCTGGCTGGTTCACACAAGCTTTTCAAGTCAGGGTTCACATCCCGGCCATCTGGGTACAAGTAGCTGCAGGCACAGAAAAGCACGGAGCTTAGAGAAAAAACACATAAACAAAAGAAGCAATTCAGAGAAATGTACATGTTTGTCCTAACCAGCCCTGATTGAAGCCTTGAATCAGAGCTTGGTAGAGAGGTATGTCCTCCGGGATAGTCTGGATGATGGCACCATCAAATGTCACGTGGCCAATAGCCCACTCTCCCATTTTTGTACAGCTCAGACGAAAGATATAGCTGCAAGGAAAAGGAAAACATGTAGCTCACACAGAAAATGGAAAAATAACCACATTAAGAGACATTGAGGTTTTCCAGAAATATCAGCAGAAGATTTTACACAATTTTCAAATGGGGCTAATCAAATTAAATTCCTCTCATTCTCAGCTATAATAACAATAAAAAATTTGCACTGCATGATACTTTTGGCCATGGCTAATGTTTGTTTGCAGAAACATTTCTTGAATAAACCCCCAGAAAACTAAAGGTATAATATTGGAGCAATAAATGAAAAGATTCTCTTATTTATATATATATTTAGAATCTTGAGACCTTTTTCATATTTTCATACTTTTTGAATATTTTCTGAGTGATGCATGAATCCTCACCTCCCAGGTCTGTGCAGGTAGTGTTCCAGACGAGCTATAACCTGGTCATAGGTGAGGAAGGCCATGTAGCCTGGATGAGTCACGGCCAGCTGGTTCCAGTTCATTAAAAGAGTCCTCCACGGCTAAAAGAGATGAGGGAAGAGGATTTGATCTTGGATACTGCATGCCTTAACCCTTGGGGGGTCCTAAAAAAAAGTACCCCTTATGAGGTCCTAGAGCCAAAAATCGACCTTGCCATAAAAAGTGCTATAAAAAGATTATACATTAATATTTTATTCCACTTTAAATTAGCCAATCTTTTAGACCTACTTCTCCTTGAAATATTCATGTCAAGTTTTAATTATATTTCGCGGATTTTAACCCTCTATATCCCGGTTTTGTCACATGAGCGCACGGCCGTTTTTGGCGAAAAAAATGAAAAAATTAAATATTTTCCATAAAATACATTTGAAAGTTATATTTTATTGTACTTTTAATTAGGCCTTTAGATGGACCAAAGATCGGCACCAAACATAATTTCGATCGCCTTTTATTTTTTTTGCAGGAGCGCATTTCATAAAATGCACACACTATCGGTCCTAATCGACCACGCCCATAAAAGTGCTATAAAAAATTTATATATTAATATTTTATTCCACTTTAAATTAGCCAATCTTTTAGACCTACTTCTCCTTGAAATATTCATGTCAAGTTTTAATTACATTTCGCGGATTTTAACCCTTTATATCCCGGTTTCGTCACATGAGCGCACTGCTTTTTTTGCCCCAAAAAACATAAAACTTGAATATTTTCCAAAAAAAACATTTGAGGTAATATTCAATTGTTATTATAATTAGGCCTTTAGATGGACTAAAGATCGGCACCAACAGTCATTTCGATCGCCTTTTTTTTTTTTTTTCAGGACCAGAAAATGGTCTCCAGGCGGCAAATGCTGCTCCTCTAGGCCGAAATAAGTGCATCTTGCCGGGGCACGTCGCGACGATGACCGGGGCACGATCACCGGGGACTCATTTTTCCAGCACACACGTCCGATACCACGTGACAACAAATACGTCATTTCCTGTTGACTAAAAAAAAAAGCACCCTCTAATGGTCCTAGGGACCGAAAATGGTCCCGCCCCATCAGCGGGCGAAGCCGCTGCTGCACGCCGGAAATGAGGCTTCATTTCCCGCAGGTCTGTTACGGCAGCCCGCTGTTTTCCAGCCCGGGGTCAAATGTGGAGCAAGGGCGCCACCCAGTGGACAAATAAAAAAATTACAACTCTAAGGTCTCTTCTGCAACACGGAAATGATACTTAAGCGATCGCCGAGATGCTTACGGTATAAATCCTGCAGTGAAAAATAGCGTTTATAATGGGTTTCAATGGGGCGATTTATGGCTCTAGGACCTCAAGTGGATGTCGGTTTTTAGCTTAGCCACCTTAAGCTAATCGAATAAACGGAGACGGCAATTCTAAAGAAAAATGAAAAAAAAAAAAAGGGTTGGAAGGTTTGTCTATATTCTATTCAACACAGTGAAAATGGCCTAATATTAAAAAACGCTGAGGACGAAAAAATGGCCGTAGGTCTCCCTGAGGGTTAATCTTTTGCACGCCCTTGTTAGTGACACTGTCCAGTCATCTCCTCTAAAAGGGCAACTGATCTGTTTAGTGTTTGGATTTGTTCTCTTTGAACAAACATGAGCTTTAGCGGTGCTGTACAGTTTTCTTATTTCATCTATCGTGCGAAGCTACAGTAACTAGCTACTGGTAACAAACCATTCTCCGACAAGCAAAAATGCAAATAGACATATTTCCTACACCATCTGGTTCTTAATGTAACAAAACTTTCACCTTACCTGAAACAGTCGTGTGAAAACATCAAACTCAAACACAGAGATGTGATCGTTGCAAGTTAAGTCAATGGTTGACTTCAGAGCCATAGATTCCATCCCTTCCTCAAATGGATGTACATTTCTCAGCTGTTCTTTAAAGGTATTCCACTGCACTATACACCTGTCAGAACACATGCTTAATGTTTGGTAGATGTAAACATACACATAAGACGATGTCAAGAAATGTTTCAATACTAACTTGTCGCCAAATGACTCCCTCCAAAAGTCCTCAGCTGCAGATAACGCCACCCTGTATTTGTCACCCTGAAAACATCCTCCTGGATAAAAGGCCTTCAGCTCCCACAGCATGTGACTGAACAACAAAGTCAGCTTGGTCAAATTCCTCCTGAGAATGAAAGACGTCACAGACTTTAAGCTCTGGCTGCAGAAACTTTTATAGAAACATTTATAGTTTTGCTCCACAGTGTCTGAGTAATCATGCAATACAATCTTTTTCTAGGCAGAAACCCTTGTGTTTGTGAATCTCAAGTATACACAGTGTTCCTATTTAAAATGAGTTTTCCTAAAGCTTTATGTAATTGCATTAAGTACAAATAGATATCTGAACTTTTAGCACTGGTGCACAAATATAGGCACTGTTATATACTACCTTTCTGTTTCAGTTGCAAGAAATACAGACACTTTCCATAGATACAAACACACAAACAGAATCAAACACACTCAACAGGTAGTCCACCTTGCAAACAGGATGCTGCCTGCTGCATGCTTGTCTGTAAATACCACAAAATGTTCCATTGGCCAGTGTGTCACTTTAGGCCAGTCTCAATAGTCTTCTCAGGCACTTCAAAGGCTTTCTATAAATATAATTGATATTTTTGATAGTTTTATTTTGATGCTACACATATTTATAACTTTTAGTTTAGTTAACAAAAAACTTTCTCTTTTTGCTAGAAGCAACTTGGTGCAACTCTCAAATGGGAGTATATTAAAAAAAAACAAACAACAACAACAACAGCAATAACACCTCCCCACCACATACACACACATACACATGTTACATTCAAGCATGCCATAATGTGTAGTGTTAACAAGTAAGGGTCTGTCCTCCTCCATGTGTTTTATGCAGCACAACATGTATAAAAATGTGTTAAAAAGCTAGTGCATGTACTACTACTGAACTTTGAAAACACAGAAGCTACGGACATTTAGATATGCTTTCACTTTTTACATGTGGGCATTACTTTACAATAAATACAATGAACAAGTAGAGGAGGGCTTTAATTTATGTTTCCATATTTATTGTCTATATTGACTAAAAAACACTACTGTCTGTTTCAGCTCTCTGTGCACTAATCCCAATCAATAATTTGAGTATTTAAACTTACTAAGGAAACTAAATTTCGTAACACAAAGTATTTCCTCTTTTCTAACACTTTTATGATGCAACTCTGGAGGCAATCATAACTGTTGAAATATTTAAAATTCTTTAGAAATCTGCTATTGTGGAAAGTGGTTATAGACTTTCCACCTCAATGAGAAAAAGAAAACCCTCTATGGTGTTAAATAGAGTACTCAAGAGTAATAGTAGAGGAGGAGGCGGGAGGAAATGTGTAAGCCACATCTCTCACTCTGGCTGGGCCTTTGTACTTAAAAATATCATTCAAAAGACAGAAACACTGCACTGAATAGAACCATAAACACATCAGCTAACATTAGGGGAAGTGCTTTAATTCCTTTTATTATGAGATATAATAATTTGCATTATAGTAATTTGGTGTCATTTGTAGCTGAACATTGTTGGCATGTTCCTCACCAGCTTGTGCGTGACCTCAAACAGTTTGATGTGAAGTTCCTTGTTACTGTTGCTTTCTTTCTTTTTTTTGCATCACGCAGCAAAACTGAATTACTTCAAGTAATCTCTGGGTCAGTAACCACCTTTGAACTCTGCCAGCACCAAACAAGATGTTCCATGGTGCAAGATTTCAGATTTAATTGACAGGTATGTAAGTGAAAGAGAGCCGCTTGCATCGAACACTATGGGAATATTTCTCCAATTTGAAACAATTCTGCATGTTAATATTTAGAATCATAATCATATAGCTATTATCAGTGTTTCTTGTTTTTTCAAAGAATACAGATTCGTGTTTAAAACCATTTGCAACACCCAAACTATGTGGTAACCACTACTTGTTTTATAATATAAATTCTGCCACAATTCAGAGCAAGACTATTATAAATCTACTCCACTTCAGAAATTTGATAGTTGTGTGTAGTTCTACAAAACACTATGTGAGGCCCCTTCCTCAGTCAAAATGACAGTGCACAAATATAAAAAAAAAATAGATAAATAACTGACAGACTTAAATGCATCATAAGTAAGTAGCTAGAGCTCTTTAGATATAACGTGGCTTGAGGGCGATCGTGGTTCAAGAGTTGGGAGTTCGCCTTGTAATCGGAAGGTTGCCGGTTTGAGTCTCGGTCCTTGGGCGAGACAGTCAGTGCGCCCCAGGGTGGCTGTGGCTACAATGTAGCTTGCCATCACCAGTGTGTGAATGGATGGATGACTGGTTGTGTAAAGCACTTTGGGGAACTAGTAAAGCGTTATATAAATACAGACCATTTACCATACGTGAGGAGCTGATAATACTTATAATTGACTATTTCAGTAACATTGTCGGTATTGCTAATTTGACTTGTCTGAATACTTACTGCATGATTGGTGAAATAAGAATAATGCTTCCTTAAACATGTTTAAAAAAGTATAATGTGCAACAAGTTAATACAGAAGTGTGAACTACCTATGTTGTTATGCTAATGCTGCAGCTGTATGCGTGCTTCTTAAATTTCTTTCAGATACCCTCAAAGTTGTCAGTGTTTCGCTTATGATAATCTTCCAACCGCTAAAGCTTCCACTGTTGGTTTCTGTCGTCTCAAATAATAATTAGATCTCACTTCTGTTTTTAATTTTTAACAGGCAGAACTTTCATGTAAAGAACTGCTATTTCAGCTTCCAACAGTCAAATACTTTAAAAGCAGACTGAAAATTTGCTTATTTGTATGAGCTGTAGCAGTACAATCCAAAAAAAACGATGAGAATATAAAAGAGATTTGTTCTGATGTCTAAACCACAATATGTATAACAATTTGTGAACTTGCCACATGACTGACCATGCAGGATTTGTGGTATGAGGGCCATCTGTTGTACATGCTTGAGATTCTTGAAGATGACGACATAAAACTGTAAATATGGGTTATGTGATTTTCATATTCTACGGGAAAATCATCTTTGAAAACAGCTGCTGGCTGTGAAATTTTAGCAGAACTGAGCGTACATTGTGCAGCATGCAGTGGACTCTATAGAGTTACAGCCAGCTCCCCAAATGAACCAGCAGAAGGGATAAGAATGATATTTAAACTGTAATTTTGATGTTGATATAATTATTTGTTTATTAACTTTGTCTTTTAACATGCTAAATAAAGATTTTTTTCAATGTATAATATAACCGAGCTACTTCAGTTAGTAGATCACTGTCACCTCAAGCAGTTTTGTGGTTTGAACTGACTATGGTCAGGTGGAACCTTTCTGTGTCTATTTTTACTGTGCGCCCCAGTTACTTTTCACCGGTTAAAGGTTTACATGCAAGCTTAACTAATGGTGCTAAGTTGGTTGCAGGAGTGGGGGCTGCTCTCTATATTAACCCTGTGATGGAGTAGTGACCCGTCCAGGACAAAACTCCACTTATTTCGCAGTTGCTGCACAAATTTTGAGCGCTGCTTTTCAACAGCAAACCGGCCAGCGCCTTGGAATAAAGCTAAAACATTAAAATGTAATATCAAAGCACATGAAGGTTAATGCAACTACATCCAGTCAGAACAAAAAAAAAAATCATCATCAATCATCATCACCAGCTAGTTGATAAAAGATTGGACTATATTTTAGTTGGTGCTCACCGAGAACACTGCAAATCAGCTTTTCTTTATTCAGCATTCACGCTAGCTAATAAATTTGGCAGGGCGCTAAACTTGTGACAACAGAATAGTTATTTGCTCACTCAGTTCTGAACTAACACCGGTTGCAGGTTGGTATATTCGTAGGCAAATGCGGGCAAAAAATCGTGCTCAAGGTTAGACAGTCTCTTTCTCACACTGCTCAAATTCAAAGGATGTTGTTGTTGTTTTTTCTAGTTTCCCCATATTAGCATCACAAAAGTGCAAGGTTGGCTCTTTTCCACCTTAATTATTAGTATTCCAAACAGGTGCAGGAAAATGCAGCCAACACTCCACATATAAGTAAGTCTATTAAGCTGTTCCAGAATATCCACTTGAATGAAACAGCAGACAGAAAGTTATAGTACAAACAGAAAATATAAGTACAGAGAGTAAAGTCTTATTTTATTTTGCCTCAGCTTCTATAGGTGGTTTAAAATAGTTTTTTCTTCAGTGCATTTAATTTGTTTAAGGATGAGCTTAAACCTCTATCACTGCTTTCAAGTAAGACTTTTAAATCAGGCAATTATAATGGGCTATATTTAATTTGAACTTTTTTTCCTTTAGTAATGCACAAGTGGTATAAAACCCTTGGTCACAGGATACTGGAAGAAGAAATGGGGGAAGGTTTTGCTTTTTTCTTTTATAGTCTATTTAATATTCCTGCAGAAGTTGAGTTTAGAGAGACAAAACTCTTATGGTTTCTGTTACTTAAATTCATTCCCACAAAATTGACTAGCCACAGCACCTACATTAGATACTCTACACAAGATTTGACACTAGATCAAATGACGTAAATTGAGAGTCTTCGTATTTTACAGTTCCTTTGGTATATCAGAAAAAAAAATTGGCTTGAGAACATGATCTGGTTGAGAGTGAAGGAATCGTAGTGTAATCTGGCAATAATAATATCAGATGGATGTTCACTCATTTTGCTTTTTATAATTTTCTGTCCAGCTTCTTTTATTAGCATCTGGTTAAAAACACATTGTATTTGCTTCGATTAGGAAAGCTCGGGTATTTGCGTTACTTGGATCGGCATGGCCGATTTCATTTGTGGCACCAAAAGAAATGGAAAGTCTGGAAAATTCGAATCTAAGATCTTACAGTGACTTGCAAGACAATTGGTATGAAGCGGAGATGTCAAACTCATGGTCAGTGGCCACATACAGACTGTTTTAATCTCATTTTGGTCAACTGTTGCACAATACCAGATTAAATAAGACCTCAGACCTCTTTTAGTCTTAAAGAAATAGAGGTACATTTTAACAGTATTTAAACTTCAAGCTTAAAAGTCGTTTATGACTCCATTATATTTCATACAGGAATATGCCACATAAAATGTCTTGTTTCCCTAATCTGACAGAAGTTCTAAAACCTTCTTAGATAATTAAATAATTTCATTTTTCAACAATTTTACGCAAAGAAAAGTTAACCCAATTCATCTCCGTCAGCTGAATGGCTTTCATCATCACTTTTGGCATTAAGTATCTGCCTACAGTAAAGCTTGATATTCCAGGTCTGACAGCCATGGATTACTGCAAAACACTACAAAGCAGTGATTAGAAGTGGTAAATTAAAATAACACAAGTCCATAATGATGACAAGCACGTATATTTACATAGCAATAAATTATCCAACAGAACTTTCTATTGTCCCTGCCACACGAACAGACTGGTTCCTGCAAGAAACTATGAAAAATTGCAAACAAAGTGGACAAATTCATGGGTGAGAAGCATTTTGATAATTAAAAACATCACATAGGTACATATAAAGGTATGACTGGCATCATAAATGACCACTACCTGAAGATTATTTAAATAATAAAACAAATATCCGAGCTGTATTGTGAAAAATAAGTGCTGTTGGTCAGTTTTTCCATATTCAGTCAGGCTGCCATCGTTACAGTTAGTAATGCATAGGCACGGCTCCTTAGCTTAACCATCCCTATAATCGAGGCGTCGTGGTAGGCCGTGCTTTTGAGAAGTCTGACAATGCTTCACACCTCGTTCGGACAAAGGCCAACATTTCAGACAATCACCTTTATGACATGTTCAGTTCTTAACAACTTGATACACAACGCTTCCAAAATTCGGTCAGAAACTGATTTCCTACTTCCGTACATATGCTGCTGTTAAGGAAATTTGACCTGTGAGACTTCTGGAAAGTTTAGTGAGGATTTTCTTAATTACTCTCTGAAAATCTAAAAACATATTTTTGGGGCCAAAGAAACAGAAATTTGGCAGATTAACCTGTTAATCTGTCGCCCCCCCCCCAAAAAAAAAAAAAAAAAAAACGAAAGAAAATTTATTATTATTTGCGATGACTTCACATGTCTTGTCACTTGTCTGAACAAGGCCAAAATACTGAAAAAAAGTGCACGCTTTCACATATAAGAGACTGGAGCTAGGATGAGTTTGCATTTTTGGTTAAACTGATGAAAAACATAAATGTAATCTAAACAAATGCTAATTTTACAAATGTCACAATGTTCTGTTATAGTAAAAATGTAATAATGAGTATGTTACACAGAGTTTTCTTTTTCTTAAAAAAAAAGTTGTTCTTTGTTTTCTAAACAATTTCTTGGTCTTGAAACATTTTGGTGTTTCAAGACCAAACTTTCCCTCTTCCCCTGCATGTGTATGTAGATGCCAGCCAGGGGCCCTCTCACCTGTAAGTTGAAGTCTCTTCATATATCTTCCTCCGTCCTTCTTTAAACAGCAGTAGAGCCCGCTCTGTCTTATCAAAGAGGTTTTTGATATGGATCCTCAGGTACTCTGCCTCGTCTCCGTGTGGCACCTGTCCACCTGCCTGCCTGAAGCCTTGGAAAGGCTCCCAGACCTGGATGAGCAGCACTGAGGTCTCTGACAGCAGCTGTGGTAGGTATGGCGGACTATTTCTCAGTCCAAGCCGAGGGGTACTGCACAGCTGTTGGAGTTTATCCAGTCTTCTGAGGGTCTTGCCCACGAGCCGAAGATCACCACGAGTGGGGGGCCCGGAGCTCAAATTCGGGCTCCTGGACGCGCCCAAATCTGCTGCCGCCATTGTTCTGCTAATGTGAGGTTTCAGGTGAAGTCAACCAAAAACTCAGTCTGTGAGTCTGTGAGTGTGTGTGTGTGTGTGTGTGTGTATGTGTGTGTGTGTGTGTGTGTGTCAATAAATATCTACAGTTCTTCTGTGTCAAGAGATGTGTAATCGCAATTTTTGAATGTGTGAATATTCATAAGCAATGAAGCTAGTGGTTGGTTCAAGTTTTTGAGCGTTCACTCTGATATTTGTCTTTAGAACGATATTTGCATGCCATCATGTTAATCTCAGAAGCATGCATCTTGTCCTCCTTAAACTGCATCCATTGTTGAGCCATAACAATCCAGTAGTATTACATTATCCAGCAACAGACAATAGGAGCAGTTACAATTACGTTTCATTTAAAAAGGAAAAGAAAAGTGTGCTCTTCCAGCCAATACAGCCACTTCTACTGATTTTTCGCTCACTCCTGTGTTCGTCTTTCAGAAATACGAAAATACAAGTGCTACAAAACAAATTCTACATTGTAAGTTTAACTTAATACGGGCCTTACAACACTCGAGGCCAAGAAAAGCACTAAAAATAAAACACAAAGAGGCACTGAGGCTAACACCAAGCCCTCAAAACATTTGAAACTTCTGCCATCACGCTCCCTTCTCCTCTCTCTCTCTCTCTCTCCACCCCTACACATTTATAGCAGATTTTAAGCACTGTACTCTTGCTTACCAACATCTCAGCAGCAATGCAGTCCTAGAGCTAGTGCATCTACTGTCAGCGCAGCGGAAACATGTTTTCTGTCATGGCCTGAAACATTACTGTTTCTCCTTTGTCTTGCTTGATGTCACTCTGCCCCTCGTCTTGATTGTCTTGCTGCAACCAGGAAACCAAATAGGTTTGTTTCTTTGGTCTATTGCTCAGGCAGACAAGCGGAGGGAGAGAGAGAGAGAGAAACAGAGGGAGGGAGAGAGGTGGGTGGCAGGGAGGGAGGAAGACAGAGAGGTGTGGACTCAAAACTAAACTTTTACTAAGAATGAAAGCAGAGTGCAGCTAAACTAGTCACTATCCAGACAGGTATAGTAACTAATGAGCTGGACGCCTGTGAAATGAATACAAAGGTCAAAGAACCGTAATCTTCACCTCACTGTTTTGTCTGTATAACGTTTAAATTAAATTTAAAAATTAAATTAATTTAAATTAATTTAAATTTAAATTTTTATTTTTTATTTTTTATTTTTTTTAAAAACTGTATGATATTTTCTTGAACAATGTATATGTAAACTTCATAATCTTAACACCTCATCTGCTGTGCTTTTCAAAACATTTTGAAGACTTCTGGGCACTGAGTTTAGAAATTTCTTGAGTTTTGGTCTCAGAATTTAGTCCAATTCTTTTTTCTTTAAAAAAAATTAGTCCTATTGTTGCCTGATATAGGTTTTCAGCTGCTGAAGAGTTTGTGGTCACACTTGATGTATTTTTTTATTTAACCATTGAGCAAACATTCTCAAGGTGAAAGATCTGGACTGCAGTCCAATTCAGCACTCGGACTCTTCTCCGATGAAGCCATGCTGTTGTAATAGCTGCAGTATGTGGTTTTGCATTGTCCTGCTCAAAAATACAAGGCCTTCCTTGAAACAGACATCATCTTTAGGGGAGCATATGTTCCTCTAAAACCTTTATATGACTTTTAGGATTCACAGTTCCTTAAAAATCATGCAAGCTGCCCATACTGTGTACACTTACACTGCATCCCTATACCATCAAAGAAGATGCTGGAAGGTCTCCCTCTTCTTTAGCCTGGAGGCCACGGCGTCTGTGATTAACAACAAGAATATAAAATTTGGACTCATATGACCATGGATCAAATTCCGACTTTTAAAATGAGTCTTGGCCCACAGGACACAACGGCGTTTCTGGAGTATGTTTAACTATAGCTTCCATTTCATTTGATAGAGCTTTAGTTGCTCTCTGAATCTTTTGATGATGTTATGCATGTTATGTTATGTTATGTAGATCATGAGAGTTGCAAAGTATTTGCAATTTGATGTTGGAAACACATCAAACTGGATGTTGGGAAACACTGTTTTTAAATATTCCATTATCTTTTTATGCATTACTTCACCGATTTGACAGCATCTCCCAATCTTTAATTCTGAAAGACTCTCCCTCTCTAAGACGTCTCTAGCTAATCATGTAACAGATCACTTTGCTTAATTACTTTCTAGATTAATTGCTGGATGTTCTCCCTTTTTGACATTTCCCACTTTTTCAGCTGTTTGTTGCCCTGTGGCAGAATTCTTTTGACCTGTAGAGACATCAAATTTGAAATGAACACATTTAGTGGATGAAGGTGTCCAGTTTCCCAGTTTGAACATTTGTTCTATTGTGCATAAAATATTGTCTTCTAGTTTTCATTACGTTCAAATTTAAAGAATGTCACAACTTTTCTGGAATTTGTGTTGTACTTGGGGACCAAGACAGAACACATTTTTAAGGTAATTATATATAGCTATGGGAGCCAATGAAGTGTCTTCAATCCTGAGGCAATGTTATCACATTTTCATGTATCTGTGAGGATTCTGGCTACTGCATTTTTAAAGTTTGTCTTTTTTTTAATCATCTTATATCAGCACAACTCAAAACACCTCCCCGGTATTTAGTAAAACTCAACATATACATTGTTCAAGAAAATATCATACAGTTTTTAAAAAGCAAAATTTGCTGTTTTTGTCAGTTTCTGTGGTCAGGTATTTCTTTCATACTTTGCTATCCACCTAACCACTTCATAGCAAAGAGCACTGATCTGCTAATGGCTTTTCAGGAGGCTGATAGCACAAATAATAACCATGTCAAATATACGATGTTCACAAAATGCTAAAGTTAAAAGAAAACAAACTAAACATTAGTCTGGAAAACCTCCAAATTTTTCATTTGGATTCATCACTTCTTAAAATCTGTTGCTACTAATTTTTAGTCCAGTTCATGTGCAGCCTTTTCTCCATTTTCCCCTTCATTAAGAATAAGATCTCGACAGGCACCTTTCCACCGAGAGCATTTCTGATGAGGCTTCAGTGAACAGTACTGAAAGGCCAGATGCATCTTTTAGGCTCTGTGTCAGATCCTTGTTGGATTTGTTCCTTTTTCTTAAGGACACGACTTTCATCTACTGTATATATTTTTTTCTAGGCCTGACACTTCAATCAATACATAAAAGGTGAAAATAGTCAGGTATGAAGACTGAACTGAAAATGAGTGAAAAGGCAGCCCAAGAAAAACTTTAAAAGACCAACTACAGATCAAGTCCTTCTAAAAATAATTACAACAAAGTCTGGTTCCTTGGAAGGGAAAAAAATGAAGCAAGGAGAGGTGGCTTGAGATTTTGGCACAGTATGTAAACTGTACTGGGACTCAATCCAGAATGGACAGGAGCAGATACAAATCCCCAGGTGTGAAATGTAAATGAAAAGATTTTCATTTTACATTTACTGACATATTTTCATTCTTGCTCTTTTTTGATACCGAGTCAGTATCTTGTTTAAATTACATTTCAAACAGGTATTACATATACAGTAGATACATCTAATCATGCATCGTCTAAATGAAGCCTGGCTTGAAGTATCCACAAGGGGGAGACACTAACTCAGCCTATCAGACTAAGCACATCCAGTTTTCAGCTGCCAGTGCAGTCTTTTCATTTTATTTTTATTTTTACTTTACTTACATTACTTTTCACTTAAATTCCAGTTGACTCTGCGTTAAGTGAAGAACATACATATCACATTTCAAAAATGCTTTGGTCTTTTGACTCACTAAAAGTCACATTTTCTGTAGCTGTAAATGCTGCAGTAGGTTAGTGCTCCTCCATCTGCTAGTAATAACAGCTATCAAACCCACTAATCAGGGGAACACATCAGAAGTTTGTTTAGGCCCAAATCATTTATTTATGTTTTTGCAAGATTCAATTCATGTCTGCATTTTTTTTAAAAGATTCAAGATGCACCTGTGCTCTCAGAGCACAAGAGGGCCCCATTTCAGTGTTTTGCAGCTTGTGTCCATATTTTACTTTCTATCATCTATGATTATTACTTCACCTGAAGCCTGAATTAAGTCCCTAAAATGTTAAATGAGTGTGAGAAGATGTTCTGTTGACATATATTTGCATCTTCTTAAATGTCACCAAACTTCAGTAACTTCACCAAACTTTCATCCTGCTGTAATCGATATGAAGTGCGTGTTCAGGATCAGGCCGGGTGTAAAAGAAGTAAGCATGTAATTTTCATAAAGGCTGACACTTAAATCCAGACCATAATGCTTGAATAACCCAACAGCTGCAGATCTTGTTTGTATAGTGTCAGGGCTTTTTAGGGACTTTAGACACTATACTTAACTTTCCGTTGCCCACTCCACACTTCAGTGGAAAGAGGAAAGTCCCAAATTGACCAAGGTAATCTGAACATGGCAGAGGGTGGGGTGGGATAAGATTAAAGATAAGAAGATGAGATGTGATTTTTGCATGTGTTTGCATTTTCAGGATTGCATGCAGAATTTGATATCAGGAAAGGTGGGTACCTGTAAGCGTAGCAGTAACATGAATTAACTGATGAGTCAATCTTCCTTTATCCCTAATCCCTTTGGAGATTGCTTGAATTCAGCTCTGATCTGCAGCCTGGTGATATCACCAACTCAAGGCAAGGGATAAACTAATCAAATATTTGAGACAAATGCTGACAATGTCACATTAAGCCTTATTTGAACTAAGGCAGCATTGTGGTGAAGGTGTTAGCACTCAACTCCACCATCTGGCTGGGACCCCGTGCTTGCACAGTTTCTCCCAGACATGCAGTTAGTGGGGTTAGGTTAACTGGTAATTTTTAAATTGCCCCCTAGGTGTGAGTGTGAATGGTTGTCTATATCTCTGTGTTTGCTCTGCGACAGGCTGTTGAGCTGTCCAGGATGTATGCAACCTCTCATCATTAGAGGATCCTTGAAAATTTCAAAAGGGAAGTTTACCTTTCAAAATCTTTTGTCTTTTGTCACCTCTTCCTCATGAAATGTGTTTGCTTGCTATATGGCAGAAACAGCTTAAATTACTCTAAATACAAGGTAGAAGCCATGGTCCAAGCATGTGGCTATGCTTGCACAGTGAACATATTTACAGTAACAGAAAGGAAAACACTAAATGCATTGTTGGAGTAGCTTGCTTCAGTAACCTGCTGGTTTCAGTAACTTTCTGGTAGCTGCACTACTTCTTTGCATAATGAGTTGAGTAGTTCAACTATTCCTTTGCTAGTCTTTGCTTACTGAAAACACAGAGAACTCTGGGGCATGACCTTGATATAGATCATGACATTGAACTATAAAGGTATGGCCAGCGCGTTTGTCAGGCAGGGCATCACCACAGATAGCATACAAAACGATGTCACACATTAATTTGTGGTCTGCTTTATAACTGTCACAATGTTGTTTTATTAGATGTCACAAAATTTAGAAGAGTCAAAAAGCTTGCAAGCTTGATTTTCAAACTATATAGATGCCTGGCACAGACATAGAGACCTACTTATTAGTGCTAACAAGAGGATGGATGGATAGATGGATGGATAGGACTACCCAAATTACTAGTCAGATAATTGCATTAAAAACGCTCCAAAAGCTATAGTAGGACCACAATTATGGACTTTAATTAAAATAAATTGTGCTGTTAAACTGGTTACTTTAATACTGGAGTCCATGTGGACGGACTTTCTTTAGGAGTCAGCCTGAAGTGGTCATTTGAGGAACTGCAGTTCCAATATTGCTTAATTTTCTTTAGCCCTGAAAGGTCTCATTTGGCCACCACCACATGGCTGTGCAGAGCATGCGCAGAAGAGCCCATAACTCA